AGTTCTTTAAGTGACGGCGTTACAGACGATGGTAGTTCAGGATTTCAAGCCGCTGCTAAAGGATGGGGTGAAGACAGAGCGCTGAATGAGAGCCAGTCTTTTGTGAAGTGTTGGTACTTAGTGGTGATGGTAAAACTTACATAAAAGAGCAGAGGAAATCAGTTGCTAAATACTAATACTGCAATGTCAAGGAAAATTCCAAATATTAAAATTTCCCGTACATAAATTTATTCAAAAGCATATTTAAATAGAGGTGTTTTTTTTTTAATTATGAGAAACATAAACTGGAAAACGCAAACAAAGCTTACCTTTGGGGGGGGGGTACCTAAAACGCAATGTGGTATGAAGCAGACCCTGCAGGGCTGGTGGTGTTGACGGTGTAGTAAAACACTTCGTTCTTTAAACATTGCTAGGGAGGTTTTGTTTTGCTTTTAATTGTCTCTCTAGAGCTCTACAGAGAGGCTTTAACACAGCATCTCTGTTGCCTATTAATTCCTGCAATCTTGCTCACTATCTTTTTTTCCTCTTTAGAGCCTATAGCTGTGTTTGCCAGGAGCGCTCGCCTACGTACGCACAATTTGTGTCCCTTGGTTAAAGCCGGCGATTTCCTAGGGCAGACAAGGCAGGCCTCTATTGGCTGCAGCACAAGATAACCGGCTTAATCTTCCCAGTAACACGTGAGTTTTCATGTATCACTTTAATCTGCGAAACGGTGGGGCCGAGTGTACCGTCACATGCCGATTTTACTTTTCTATGAGCAAGTGACTCGGCGGCTCAATGATGGATTGTTTGCTCTCGTTTAACAACAGGCAAGATGGTGAATGCCCCGGGGTGATAGACAGCGTGCAATGGGAACGGCCGCAAAGCTGATGGCCCGGTTCAAGTTCACCTGACAAAGCTGAAGCAGTCTGCAAGCAGCCTCCTAGAAAGGATTATTCACACTAGCATTATATTTTTGAATGCATTTTTCTTCCTGCGCAGCTGCCCAGCACTGAAGGTTTATGCACCATCATAAAGAGATTTAATTTTTTTTTTTTTTGGTCGCTTGCTGCTCACGCTTTACACCTAGTGCTAATTCTTCGGTGTCATGATAGGGCATCTATCCAAACAACTCGGCACAAACATCGGCTAGAAAACAATCGCAGTGCTAAAAAGCGGTAACAAAAGGCTAAAAACCTCTGCTGGTTGCAGAAACAAAAGCTGACCATTTTGTTAAGGCTAACGCTGTGCTGGGGACCCATCTTTCTGTGGCATTTTAGTGCTGTGGTTCCTTTTTCACCACGAAAGTCTCCCAACAGGACCGATCCCAGCCTTAGTGGTGTCGGGCAATGGAACGCCAGGGCTTCTTTTGGCTTTCGAGGAGAAGAGGGGCACTTCAAATGCTGGAAGCTTTTAACTTCAGATTCAGCAGTTTTTTTAAGCTATACATACCCTTTCCCAGCTGAAGAACCTCATAATACATGTGCATGTGCAACAACAAATTTTGGATGTGTTGGCAAGGTCTTTGAAAAATAAAATGACAGGTTTTTTTTTTTTTTTTTTATTTTGGCTTGAGAGGCAGATTCCTGGGCAGCAGCAAATGTCAGCTCCACTCCTGAAAGTTACTCCAGTCGGATGTGGCACTCAATACGTAAAACTGTTTCTTGAAATTTCACGGCAGCAGCTTTTCTGTTTCCTGGTTAGGATAACAGCACCAGGAAAGACGGGCTGAAAAGACTGTAAGATCACTTGCCGTCTGCTGTGGAATATGCAGTTAATGCAACCCGTACCTGCAAAGATAGGCCCTCTAGTTTCAATCACAATTTCTACGTACCTCCACCTTTCTCTCCAGTTTACGAAGGATTTTGAAAACTATGTTGCGCCTTGTTCTACATAAAGGAAAAGCCCTGGCAGTGCCCTTTTTTCTTTGGAAATCACTAGCACCAGTGAATTCCCCTTGTCCCCTTCCTGCCTGCTTCAAGTGCTGGTCCTTCCTGCTGTCAGTGGTCTCTGAGGAAGACTGGGTGGGTGTAGGGGGGGCAGTTGGGGTGTCTTAGCTGTAATGTGTTCATGACAAAGGCTGAAACAAGCATCTTCCTGTCAGTGCATGATGTTAATCACCCGTTGCAAGGTAAGGGGGGAGCCCATTAGTCCTGAGCAGTTCACTCATTAAAATTCTGTCCACAGTAGACCTAAACTGGACAGCTGAATTTTATAGGAGTAAAATGCATTTTAGCCAGCATGTTTGGTTTGAAAAAATGGTCCTTTTATCATAGTCTGAGTTTGGGTAATATTTCCAATGGCTTTTAGTTTCTTCATCTCTCAACCGTTTCTCTCTAGCTTGCTCAGCTCTGCCTTGAAGGAGCACAGCATTTTGTGGGAGGACCTCCCCCACCCCCGGTACTTCTTCTGGATGTTTTGTCCGCTGAAGAAAGGTTCACGAGGAATGAGAAGAGGCACCGTAACAGTACGTGTACAGTATTATCCAACCACGTGCTCAGCTTTGACTCTTTTCAGCTAACCAACCTGCGCAGGAAAAAGTTAAGGTTTCAGCTGTTCAGCTACAATTCGCAGAAACGGAAAGGAATTGCTTTCCTGTACCTGCTTCTGAAATTCACTGTGCTGGTGCAACTCCACTATGCGGGTCTCTCAGAGGCAGGCAACTGGTTACCATTAAATTTGCCATAGCTGGTAGGCCTGCTCTAAGGATGCATCAACATCCAGGTACTTTTAGCTCTGGCTTCAGCATCGCCCTCATCGGTACACTGTGCTCGGGAAAAACATGGGGGCGGGAAGGGACATCCGGTGCAGGCAGAGCTGATGTTCGATGGCATTTGAATACGTCCTCAGTGGGTCTATGGGAAACGACTGGCATAGCTCTGCAGTCCATACTTTCCAGTTCTCCAGGTGGTGGCTCACAAGAGTCCAAGGAGGTCACATGAATGAATTACAAGCTTTAGTTTAAAAAAAAAAAAACAAAAACCCAACAACAACAGAAAAACCACAAAAGATTGTTTCATAAAAAGTAAAAAGCTGCAGCTGCCTCTAACCCGGGCAAGCACTATTGAAGCACGCGGCCAGCACGCATACCACAGGCCGTTCAAAGAGCCCTGGTGTTAAAAATCAGGGGCTCTCCAAGTACACTTGATAACCATGAACAATAACCAAAATACAGCTCAAATGTTTGAGTTAAAGGACATATTCTAAGCTGCAGCTGTTTGTATGTGTGATAGTAAAGTATGTTCCCAGCATAGGCAGAAGTGACAAGAAAACCCCCTCATTGTGTGGGTAGAAGTAAGTCTTTAGCTGTATGAGTGGGGTGGGGGTGAGAGGATAAGGGCTCTTGGTGTAGGTTGTTGACAGGGACAGTGTGCAACCATAACACCTAAATGTTATAGGACATCTTTTCTTTTTTTTTTCTTTTAATATTGACAAGCATCCCCTTAAAACTCTAGTACCTGTTCCGAGTAGTTCTTAGCCTAAACGGCGCCTATGAGTGCCTAGCTCATGTATCAAACACCCTGTGCACTGGAGTTAGCTATATTTAACCGCAATCCGGCAGGCCAGTTGTACCAAACGAGGACTGCAAGCAATAAACTAATGGCAGATCTGCTGGTGTGGGTAACTGGATTTCGAGCTGAAGGCTCTTAAGGTTACTGGGAGTCTTTCTGCAGCGTGTAAAGCGCAGAGCTGACTGAGGAAGCATACAGACTATTGTACGTGTGCAGGACACTTAGGCTGGTAGCTCTAAATTCCCATTAGCGCATTAGCTTGCAAACTGCTATAAGATATTTGGGAAACGAAGCTTCTCTCAGTGGTGGCTCTCTTTTGTAGCTAAGGCCTCACTGAATACGAGTATAGGACCAGCCAAAGTTTCTGTCTTCCTTCAGGCTGCTTCGGCCACTGCACATGGGCCCTCTCAGCCTGGGATCGTTCTTGTCGCTGCTAGACGATGCACAGGTGCAACTTTTAAACAGAACATTAAAAAACAAAACAAAACAAAACATAACCTGAATGTGTCAGGCAGCACCTGTAGGCAGGGGCTGATGCTGTCATTTGCGGAGAATGACCGTTGCGGGTTTCCTGGTCGTCTCTGGAAAGACACCAATAGCGAGTGCTTCTACACGACAAGATGAGTGAAGGGAATTGCCAAGTACTGAGGTTGACAAAAGTGACAGCATGGCTCCTATCAGTGACAGGACTGATGGGGAGAGCAAGGACACGAGTGTCATGGGCTAGGACGTGCCAGGCAAGCACTGGGTTGAAAGCTCTGTAGGCTGTGCCTCAAGCAGTACTGAGGCACAGCTCATTGCCTCTTGCTTGCTATCAGCAGCAAATCGCAAGTCTCTGTCTCCCCCTTCTCAGCCCTGTTGGTGACTGGGCTGAGCAAAGTCTCCTCTTGTTTTTGAATGCCTTCCACCTGTTTGCTCTTAAAGCTGCATGACCAAGGCTTGGACTAAATTCCTCTGGGTTCGACCAGAGAGGGATACTTTGCCCACTGGGTTGCAACTAAAACCGGCACCGAGGCTCTACTCTGTAACAGCACTTGTGTTCATCAGATGCTGGCCTCTTCCATGTGCCACTCCTTTGCACAGTGGCTATATGCACTCGTGATATTACTCGTGGGAATTAGAACTATAGAACTAGTCACCAAACCTATGGTGCTCCTAGTTTCATTAAGGGCAGAAGAGATGTGCTGTTCTTAAGCGAGAATTAGCCTACTCAAAGGAAAGTCTTCTGGGAGTTTGTTAAACCCAGTGGTCCTTGATCATCCTCGTAGAGCATCTCGTGGTTCAAGAACATTAGGTTTTTCCTCTAAGGGCAGCAGGAACTATAGTTCCTTCTGTTTGACATTGTGCGCTCAGATACGTACCTATAAACACAAACACCTCTGAAAGAAAGTATTTTTTTTTTCAGTAACTCAGTACACTACCTTTGTTCCCTGAAGCACTTACACAAGTTGCTAAGAATTTTACAAGTACAGTTAAACCAAAGTGGTTGAAATACAACTCCCTGCTTCTGTCACATCTTGTTTCATATTCCATTCCTAAAGAGCAGATGGTGCCCACTGCCCTTACTGAATCTGCAGATGGATTAGCGGCACATACAGTCCTGCAGTACACACCTTACTAAGCTCTAAATTTTGGAGGCCGTGGCCTTACTCCTCTTACGTTCTGCTGTTAACTCTTATAGATGGCTATAACAACAAACAGTTCAGATGGTACACAAGATGATAACATGGTATTATGAGTCGGGATGCAAAGGCGAGAACTTTCACAAACTTGTTCAGGTAACGACTGCCTGGACTCACATGGGTATCACCTCAGTGGCTCTGTTCTCACAAAGTCAATACATTCCTAAATGTGTGCAGTATAAAATACTGTCCGTCTTATGGGTCATTTTCGGTTAGACCATCTTGCGCGAGTCTACACTGGCGGCTCTATTGAAGGCCTTGCTAAAGAAAGGCGACGACAGATTTCATTGCACTCCACATGCTGATCATTGAAGAAGTAATAAATTCCTCTCTTCCCAAAGTTGGAGTGTGAAGCGTCTTTGCGATTAAGAGAATGAATCTGGGGGTCTGTGAGGTAGATGAGGCCTTTCCCATTACCTGTCACCCACCCTGCAAAAGAAAGGATACATCTTGGCATCAAATAGCACAGTCTTTGTATTACTGTACTCGGTCCTGTCGGTTTGGCACACTCCATGCTCTGCTAATGCTAGTTCAGTGACTCCCGGTTTACACCTCTGCCTGCAAGAGCAGAATAAACCCCTAAAAGGTACATAATGAATATTTAAGTAAGGTGTGCATGAGTATCGCAAAGAAATCACGTGATAAAGGCTGAGTTTGAAAGGTTTTATCCTTGGCTCTTAACTAAAGGGAGCTGAGCTCTTCACTAGTTGAACAGGGGACTTTGTTCAGGCCTGCCAATTTTAGGAAGGCGTGAGGGTGACAAAAACTGCTGTCTCTTTTAATGGGAACCATCTCCTTTAGATGGTTCCACAGGAAACATCTTTGTAGGCTGGCTTTGTTCTAAATGGGCACAGATTACCTCGTGGCATGAAGCTGTGTCATGCTAGGGAGAACACAGCTTATGTCCCGTTGCTGTGATACAGTGGGCAGCAAGAGCACTGCCCAAGGCAAGAGCATATCTGCACACACCTCCTTCACTCTGTGTCATTCAGAGAGGATACGTCCTTTATATAGCATACTCCGGAATGCGAGAGGCTATGCAATATAGGAAACGCTCTGTAATACAAACCTTGCAGATCAACAACAACATCTGTTCCATTGGAGAACTCATAGCAGAAATGGCCATAGGCCAACCCGTACTGCGTGGCTTTGTACTCGTTCTTTACTACCTTTGTGTTATTAGACAGCTTCACAAACTCTCCAAGGATGTAGGGCTCCACACTCACACATCCTTTTATAGTTCTGTCTTCCAGTATCTGAAAAGAGAGTTTTAATGTTAGTCATCCAAAGAGAGATGGGAAAACAAGGATGCTAAATCTCGACTGAGCTTTTTTTTTTTTCTCCTAGAACTTTCCATCAAAAAATGGATGGGAAAAGCATATGTATTCTTCCACCAACAACCCAAAAACACACGTTGTTTAGAAGAGGAGCTCAGATTAACTAGAGCAATGGCAGTACAAGATCCAAGGTGAAATCAGCCTGGCAGGCCAGACTCTGTTACCAACAAATTCTACAAATGTCCAGTTTGTTCAGCAAATGGGAAACATGTTTCAAGGGACTATGTCTAAGGACCAAAGCAGAAAGTTGAAAAGATTACCCTTGGGTAAACTTGCACCTGTTCCATCTTGAGCGTGCAAATAATCATTTTTTAAAAATTAATTTCTATGTTGAACGACTTGAGTACTGATGCGAGGCTCTCATTAGGCCTTACTAGCCAGTGGCCTTAGTCACATCTAGTGCCAGACTGCCCAGCTGATATAGTAATATGCACATTATGCTACAGTGTACATACCAATATTGAAACAATTAACTCTTCTCTGTAGCATATAGGGAGAGAGAAACTACTTAGGTCTCTGTATTTGAAACACAAATCAAAAATTAAGTGTAGAATAAAACTCTGAAAGGTATATAATGAATATTTAAGTAAGGTGGGTATGAGTATCAGATCCAACTTTTCCATGCTGGGAAGAGCACCCCCTCCACTCGTGGCTATGGTACCTGAAGACGACACAGCTCTGCACGTAAATGTCTTGCATCTCGAAATGAGCTAATGCGCTTACTCAGTAAGATCACATGAATTATATAATGTGTCAGCTACAGGTGGCCTAACTATTGGTATTTTAAATTAAAATCGATTTATAACCCTCTTTATATCAATTCCTTTGTATCATTCAGAAGAGAGTTCTTACCAGGAGCACTGCAGAAGGGATGTAAAAGATTTGCGTGGGGACCTTTTGCTCATACAGCCTTTTGTTGAATTCTGTCACGTAGTACTGGGCAGTCATTTGTCGTTCCACGTCACTGAAATGATGAAGCAGCCCTTTTTCTTCCTTATATTCTTTCCCAACGTACCTAAAGAAGCAGATAAATGTTTGGTGTAGCCAGACTTGCAGCAGACTGCGATGGTGAAGCACTGCTTGTGATGAAGAAATCTCACTACAAGGCAGAGCTTGGCTGTTCATAGGCAAAGCTAGATGCTGGCAGTGCCATTTAAAGTGTCAAGTGACTAAAATTGTGTTTTTTTCTTTTGTATCTCTTATAGGCATAAAATGCTGTAAAGATTAACCAAATGCTAGGATGGGGATTCACAAGCCTGGCATGTTTAAAGATGACAATTCCTGACTCTGAAGGGAGACCTGACTCAGAAGTACTTAAAATACCGTTCTTAATCCATACTAATTCATAAGCTACTTCCAATAACAATCCAAAATCTGTGATTTGCAATAAGCAGAGCTTTCCTGGTGCAGAGGCCTATGTGAAGCAACTAGATGGTCTTAAACCTGCTTGAGAGCAAATGCATCCATTTCATAAACCCACTGCTAAAAATCAGAGAAACACACTCGAAGCACCTGTTCTTCATACAGAAAGCATCGCTCCTTCATTCTGTGTTAGGAACAAGCTTGTTGCCAGCCAAGCAATCACAGTCGGGAAGCCAGACACTTGGTACTGCAGCGCTCCCTGCTAGCTAGGGTAGCATGCTTCTCATCATTCCCTTACTAACTCTGGCCCAGCACCAGGTTAACCTTCAGGCTGGAGCTGGTGTGGAGCTGTCGTTGTGGGACTATGACCACAGCAAATGCTGGTGTCTACGCAGGAAGATGAAGGCAAGCAAAAAAATTGTTCCGACTCTGAGATACCCTGTGCTCGTGCCCTCTTGAGCAGCATTAATTGCTAAATCTCCTACCCATGAGTAGGATTAGAGGGGCTTGTTTTATGAAAAAAGCCTACTCTGAAATCTCTGCCAGGTTAATTATTGTTAACTTAGGCAACACTCTCTGAAAGACCAAGATTTTAAACAGATTTTAAATTAAGGATGCCTTGTTTGAATGTGTGGGAATATCAGAAACGGGAATTATCTAATACAAAGCCAGAGGTCAAATAAACAGAGGTGTCACTTAAGCTCCCATGCAATTATCCCAGCATGGATGAAGGTGAAGTCAGGCCTAAGAGATGTAATGAGAAAATGGACACTAACACGGCTGCCAGAAGAAATTAATAAAGTAGCTTGTTCTTCCCAAAAAACAAAAGTAGAGAGGTAAATGGGGTGATGGGAAGAACTCACATAGTAAAGATTGACAAAATGTCCAAGAGGTTTGGAAAAGCCATAAAACATTCTTGCTTCAGAGTAGCAGTCAAAATCTAACCGACTGCAAGCTAAAGTAAAGGAAAAAAAATTTCTCCCAAGGTGACTGTGATTTCTGTAGTTCTCCTAGTACTAACTTCTACTGTCTTCTGAAAGCATTGATAAAGGCTACTGTGCAACAAGGCACTGGACTAACTGAATCGCAGGTACCAGTCAAATTTTACCAGACAGTTTTCATTTATATTTATACAGAATTAGCATGGATAAACATTTTCTTTCAGAAACTGGTTTGAACAATACCTTCCCAGGCTTTCCTCTTGATGCAGGAAGTGTATCCAAAATGCACTTCTCTGTTTGCCTTCCTTTGCCACGTTCAGGTAGTCCCCGATAAATACAGCTGTTTCCTGGCCTGTCCAGAGGCCCGATTTCTTGGAGTACTTCAAAATAAGCGCAGCTATAACAAGAAAATCCCACAGGTAAAATCCACAAGGTCTTCAACAGGACTGTTCTGCCCCTGTGCTGAAGGGCAAAATATGAGTGCCTAGGAGCTAAGATACCCAGGCTCCTCTGAAAGCAAAGTACTGGGCTATAAAATATATACTAACAGGTACTGAGGTGCAGAATTGGATATTATACATCAAGGGCAAAAAAAAAAAAAATCTAAAAGGGCTGAAACATGCAAGACGGGATGAAGTCCCAAGGCGGGGGTTATTCTTAATGAACCCATTGAGGTCTCCTGACTTGTGTACTTTTTAGTATACTGATCATGCATCTGTATATTATTGATCATATATATGCCTCTGCATGGCAAATGAGCTGTTATTCATGATTAGCTTAATAACCATTATCTCAGACGTGTAACTTACAGTGGTGAGACACGGACTCCGTATGGGTGGCAAAACTAGACTCTCAGATAAAAAGACAGAGTAGGACTTGATGGACTGACACAGGGAACCAAGCAGCCTGAGTTACCCATTGCGGGGAGGGATGCTGCAGGAGGGCCCGAGCAGGCAGGGGGATGGATCCAGGGATGATGCGACTGATACATAAATGGGTAAGGAGTCAGTGAAAACGGTTCGAGGGAATGTTCTTCTATTATTGCTAAAATATTTGTGTAAAAACCATAAAATAACAAAAAGTAACTTAAGGAGTACTAATAAATGATGACTAATACATTACATTAAAGAGCCTGAGTCAAGACCGTTCTCTGTAGGAGTACTTTTTGCTACGCAGAAATGCTTGTTGCTGCGTGAAAACTTACAATATGCTTTCTGAAGTTGTTTGGCCTTAAAAATTCCTGCAGGCAACAGTCTCTGGACAAGCCAACTATGCTCTACCCCTGACAGAAGCTTTGCGTAATCATCATCCCTCAGAAGTCGAGCGTTGAAGACGTCTTCCTTGATTCTCCCAGGCACGAAGACAAAACCGCTTCCCCCTGGGTTCAGAAACGGACCTACACTCTCAGAGGAACTCTTGGACACGTGGGCTGGTTTGTGCCGTGGACTGAGAGATGAGCTGGACTCTTGCTTCGTGTTCCCCACATTCTGAGGCTTTTCTTCATCTTCCTCAGTAGTGGCACAGTCAAAGCGGTCAGTTATGGACATCCTTCCTGCTGAGGGTGAAGTTGTTTGTGTGCTGGGAGACAGGTGATGCTCTGGAACGGTTGCCGTAGGATAATGGTTTGCTAAGTTACCAGTACTGATGAAATCAAATTCAGCGTCATTTACGGTTTCTGCCTGGGGGTCAACTTCGGGCATTTTGAGAGACCCACTTCCCCTCACTGCAGCGGATTTCCTCAGCCAGTCACGTACTGAGGAGTCACGGGCCACCTCCAGCTTAACGCTCATGGCTCTTACAGAAGCAACCCCACTCGCGTGGCGCCACGCTTCGGCTGCCGGCACCT